TTTCCCTAGATCTGTGAGGTATACTAATGGTATTTTGATCAGGATTTCATTAAATCTCTATAACAATTTTGGGAGTATAGGGGTCACTTGATTTTAAATTGGAATCTCCAAATTGTGAGTCAAAAATAAGCTTTTCCTCATTGTAGATTAATTACTTCCGGTACCTTAGTGGAGTAGTGGAAAGCTGACTGAAGCAAGACCTTAGAATATTATGTCAGTTAGGGTTCATTAGAGGACGGATTATTGAGGAGGACAGATTTATTGAGTAGGCTTTCAGTGACCACCTGCAGAAGTGCAGAATTAGGGTAGAAGAATGCAAAATGCCCATCTGCATGTTGGAGGGGCAGAGGATCCAGTCTAAGGCCTGGACTTCACTGCAGAATCTGGTGTTAGTCCATGTTAGAAAGCTGAAAGATCTGCATTAGAAAGCTGAAAGATCTGCATTAGAAAGCTGAAGAGTCTGCATTAGAAGCCTGAAAGGAATGGAGACCAGTGTTCAAAGGCAATGGCAAAGACCAGAGCTCCTCTGAAGAAGAAAAGGGAAGGCTTCCTTCTTTCTCCTTTTATTCTGTACAGGCTGTAAGCCTATTGGTTGTCATCCACATCCAGGGTGGGTCTTCTATCCTCATTTTTCAGCCTACATGTCAATCACCCACAGGCGTATCCAGAGCTTTACTAATCTGGTATGTGTTGTTGTTGTTAAGTCAAGTTCACATATCACAATTAATGATCACAAATATCCCTAAGCATAGGATCTGTAACCCAGATCTGAAGACTTCATATGTCTTTTCTCTAGGTCTTTCTTCCTGAGAGTGGATCACATCCCCTGTGAGCTTACTCCAAGCCAAGAGGTAGGGGTGGAAGAGGTAATATAGCTAGGAAGACAGTCTCTTTCACTTGAGGGCAATTTGGAGAAAGGATAAAGGGAAGGGAAGATACTTGGTCTTAACCTATGTATCAGTGCATGGGAAAGACCTAGATGGAGAGAGAGAAAAAGGGAGAGGAACAGTCTGATAGTACTCAGGTCCTGTGCCTTTACCATTACTTGGCTTACCCTGTCTTATGTTTCCTTTCTGGGTAGAAGTTAATTTACTTCTTAAAGGCTTTTAAGTATTGATGATAGCTATGGCTGAAAGTTAGTTCAGTGCAGGTTCATTATGATGTGCTCTGTACTACTTCAAAAATTGTTTTTACTTTCTAGATTGTGGAATCTGAATAGGTTTATCTTGATGGACAGTACTTAGGCAATTTTATACATATAAAATTTGTTTACCATAGTGGGACACTATATTTTACATACTTTCTAGATAACAAGGCATTGTAAATACTATTTCTATGCTATTAAATATTGTATTTTACCCTATTAAAATCAATGGCAATTTAGTAAACCCTTTCTTGTTTAATATTTAGGTTGCCCATAGGTTTTTATTATCACAACCC